CCCTATACGCGCACTGTTAGCCTAGGCAGGATTGTAAAAGTACAGCTGTGCGTAGGAGAGGACGTCCCCCTTAGCAGGCTCTAATAGGCTGTGCATATAGTACATCTCCCTTATAATCTAAAAAACCTTTACGCCTATGCTACACACACCCTAATTTGTTTGTTTATAGTTAGCTAATGTAAAAGCTAAAGCTACATTATATAATTAAAGATGCTTTTAAAAGAATCTGCTAAGTAGGTGCCTGCCCTATAAAAAATAACGCAGGAATAAAGGTAGATCTAGAAAAGTTAAAAAGTTAATATTACTTATTAGGCAACATATAAAGTACTAAGGAGAATCTGCCTAACTCTTATTAACCTACTCTTTAGGCTAGTAAAAGGCACTGCAGTTAAGACAGCTACTTATAGAATTCTGCATTAGACTAAAGTTAATAGGAGTAATATAGTCTACAGTAGTAATAATATATGCCTCTAGCAAATTGTTCTGTAAGAGACTAGCCCTTAGTTGCTTCTAATCTTTACGCACAGATAGGGATAGAGCAGGCTAATCTAGAGTGTGTTAAGAGGGTAGGAATTAGATAGGTCTTTATAAAGTTAGCTGTATATTATAATAATGTATATATATAGACAGTGTAGGAGGAGTGGAAGTTAGCATAAAGGACTTAAGAGGGGTTAATTATATATTATAATAGATCTAGACAGATAGCGTAAAAGGAGTAAAGGAGAGCGTAAAAGTCTTAGGAGGGTCTTAATATGTATAAAATAATTAATTAAGCACTAGTGTTCTACTTAATGCAGTATTACGCCTAGCATGTGCAGGTCAGCTCTAGCATAGACTTAATTAGACTGTAGTAGCACAAGCTTAAACACATTTTAAAAGTTATACATTAGAGTTAACATTAGCTAATAGCTAACGCGCCTAGATAAAACTAGATATAAGTGCTAAAGAATATAATAATTATAATAAAGCAACATACTGCACAGCTATGTCTATTACACTAGTAATAAGGAGCTCTAACTTTATTAGTAGGGAAGTTAGAAAGGGGTCTGTAGTTATTACAGACTAGGCAGAAAGTAGGCAATAAGTCTATATAGCAATAATATAAAGGGATAACACTGTATAATAGGAAAAGAAAGACAGGTTAAGAAAGAAAGGTACTAATTAAAAAAAGTTAAAGCAGATTAGAGATAGATTAACTTTAAGTAAATTAAAATCCTGCCTATTAAAATAGGGCGTAGTAAGGCCTATGCTACACTAAATAAATTTATTTCTTTAAGGTCTCTAGAAGTATAACCCTTTCTAAAATAGCGTCCTTATTAAGTTTAGGAAAGGACTTAATTAGGCTAAAAACCTCTAAGAAAAAATTCTATATAAGGAAGAATTTAAGCTATCTAAACTTATTATCCTAAGCAATAGAACACCTCTAAGCCCTTACCCCCTATGCAATAGTTTGTAGTATGTAAATATGCTCTTAATTTTAATATAATTAGTATAGCTTTATAGCTTAAAGAAAAAAAGAAACAGTTAAAAGTGTTTTACATTAGGCTAATATTATGTTAGGTGTAATCTTAAGGCCTTCACAATCCTTTGTAGAGGTTAGTGGATAACATAGAATAACCTAATACACTTATGTACATTATAGATAGCTATAATATAGTAGCTTGCTATAACTTATTGTTATTATAAAGTAAGGTTAACTAAGGCTGCAAAAGTATTAAAGCAGATAATGTCTAGTTAGGAAAGATTAGAACAGGTTAGAGCAGATGTAGAGCTGAAGCCTAAAGTCGCACTACTGTTTTGCTTAACTAGGGGGAGATCCTCTGGAACCCCCTTTTTGCCTGCAGCGGGCTTTGCTTAGAAGGTCTTAGCAGAGCTGATTACATTTAGCAGGAAAAATTACACTATAGAAGTAATTTTTACACCCCTAACTGTGCAGTAGTTGATTATAATAGGAAAAAAAGAAGACTAGATTAAGCATGTAGCATAGCAGAACAATTACTTAAAGCTTAAAAACAAACAGTAACACAGCTTTTTAGTTACTAATTTTCTACCAATCAAATCAATAGCCGGCTTATATCCGGACTAATAGGAGAGAGGGCTTGGCGGTAGAGATAGTGTAATATTTGATGCTGCAAAATGCTGCAACATGCAGCAATTTGCAGCAACATACTGTTCGAGCTTATTGCTCGTACTATGTAGCAGCTTTCGTCAAACGTTCCTACTGTCTTGACAGTAGGTGCGCATATCTGACACCTGCAGAGGCAACAAACTACACAAGCTGCAGCTCCACAACCAGGGCTATGATTTAGTCTGCACGTAAATAGAAGCTGCACCATACGTGGCGGTATTAGGCGGTGAAAGCAACAGACGCAACGCTGGAGACCGCAAGGTGCAAAGAAGAGGAAGACTGTTGCGGGAGCGAGAACGTGTCGGGGGCGGGAACGCGATAAGCTAGGGCTAGAATGCGTTGCCTTAATTAAAGCTAACAATTAACTAATTTCTAGATAACTAATCTTAAATTTACAGAAACTTTAGATTCCTAAAGAGGGAATTTTGCTAACCTAATTAGAGCTGAGAATTAGCTAGCTGTTATTTAGTCTTAAGTATTGCTTTACTTAAAAGCTCGCTCTGCAATTATATAACACTAACGTACTTTATAGGCAAGTTGCTTACACACCTAAGTTACTTACTTTTGCTAAGACCCTACTACACTACTTTTCTTACACTAATGTATTTCTAATAACACTACTTAAACATGTTAAAGGAATGTTAGATGTAGCTTACACTCTAGGCTTTTAAATAAGACGCAACACTCTCTAACTAACGCGCTGCAGCTATCTATAGAGTCCCTTAAAAGACAATAAGTAACTAACGCACTAGACAACTTTTCTAAGCTAATTATACAGCTAACTTATAAAAGCTAGACAATAATAAAAAGCAGGTAATTGTTTAGCACATACTTAAGCTAGATGCGTAAGAATTTCCCCCCTAGCTAGCAGCTGTAGCTAATATAGCTAATTCTTTACACACTAAGTGTAATATAAGCTATGTTAGCATAAACTAGCTTAATATGTTTATTAAGTGTTACTTAAAGCTTAAAGTAAAGTTTAAGTGTAAGTATAACTATAAAAAAGCTTTTTATAAAGATCTTATAGTACTTTAAAGCTAGTTTAACTTTATAAAAAATATTAAAGCTAAGTATAGCATTTAGAATAATAACATGTACAACTTTAATAAAATAGAGTTTATAATAGGCTAAATATCTACTAAAGCAGTTGTTATAGGTTTAGAGAGACAAGGACAGCTAAAAGTAGTCTAGCTAGGTAACTAGAAGTAGATAACAGCTATCTAGGGAATTAATGCTAAAAAGTAAGCTATTCTGCTTTTTATTATTTTTTAGAGTAGTAACTACCTTTTAAACTAGTATAAAAAAGAAAATCTACTTTAGAATTAAGTTATTACAATCTCTAAGCACAGCTAGACTACTAATTAGCTTAGTCTAGACTAGTTAAAGCACTTTAATGTGTATATAAAAAAGTGTACTATTAGCAGCTACTATCTGCTAGTTATTAATAGCTATAAAAGCTATAACTTACTTTATTTTTAGTAATACTATAAAAATAATAAAATTATTACTATTTACATGCCTTTTTACTTATTGCACCTTTTATAGCTAGTTAATGTAGGTTATTTTACTTCTTTAAAAAAGGTGTATAAGCACTAAGCTAAAAACCTAATGCATAACTAAATTACTTATATTATAAAAATAAAGTTCTTACTATGCTTTAAAGTAGCTTATAATGCTATAATTACTTTTAGTAATATCTAAGAAAAGTTTTAAAGCGCTAGATTAGTTCTTTTTAACCTATAATAAGTTATAATAGGCCTTAATATAAAGTTGCGCACTCTATTACTACTACTACTTATATATAATAAGCTCTAGCAGTTATAAACTTTAAGTAATACTTTAAAACTTAAGTTATAATTAATGCTTATAAAAATAAAAATTTAAAAGCATATAAATAGTTTACTAACTTCTATAGTTAAAGTGTTTAAAAAGGTCTTAAAAAAGGCAGTAATAATTATGTATAAGCTAGTGTTAGTGTAATAAAAAATTACTAAGCTTTAAGCAGCTAATAAGGCTGCTACATAACATAAATTATATAAAAAAAAGCAAATTAAAGTAGAAAAGACTTTAACAATTTAAAAAGGCTTACACTTAATAGCTTTAAAGAAGTTTAGAGCGCGCAGTAATAGGAAGAAGGCAAAAAAGCAGGTGCAAGCTAAAGTAGGTAAGCTATTCTAAAGGCGCTGCAGATAGTGCAATTAGACTAGGCATAATATGTAAACATGTAAGTAAGAAGTAGAAGTAGTATCTAAATAATATTCTAGGCTGTACTGTACTATATAGTGCTAGACCGGGTTGTTATAGGCTATAATAGAGTTTGTTAGGGTGGGGTCTTGGCAAAAGTGAGCGACTCGGGTGTGTGAGCAACTCGCCTATGAAGTACGTTATTAACTTAAACTTAAATAACATTATAAAGAAAAATTATTAGCTAACTATAGGTTATATAAAGCAGTTTAAAATATAATTTTAAGAGCTAAAAATAACTAATTAAATTAATTTAGTTATTAATAACAACTATATAGTATACTATGTACTATATATTGTACTTTTTAGAAAGTTAATTAAGAACCTGCTTATTAAGATGTTACATGTACTACATTGCTAAAGGTCTTCTTAATTATAGAATAACTAAGCTTAAATTACCTAATGAGGAGTTTCTACTAACTACTATAGACTTGAAGAAAAGCTAGCGTTCCTTGAAACTAAGAGTATAACTAGAGCAAGTTCCTCTAATAAATTTGTAAACTTACGTCTTTACATCACAGAAGTCCTGATTCCCTATTATATTGCAAATCTTACTATTGTAAACCATCTTAATTACACACTTACCCGTGTTACCCTCTCTTACCTAACTCCCTTCTGCCGCCCTTTCTCAATGTCTCACAGCAGACATTTCATTCGCCCATCCAGCGGGGACATGCCTCTGTTCCTGCCCTGGAAACGGCGCCGGATTCCCAGGCGAGTACTCCGGCACTGGATTCCTAGGCTGATACTGCGGTGCTGGACCTCCTGGCTCCACTGGGCTTTGTACCACCGTACTTGCTCCATAGTACGTGCTTGCTAACGGATCTGATGCTTGGTTCAACGGCGTAGCAACCTCCGGCGCTGTATATCCCATAGGGGTTTTGTCCTGAAGGGTAGCAGCTACTACATAGCCCCCGCTGTTGCCTGGCGACGGTTGGAAATTGTTCGGGGCAGGGGGGTTATGTTGAGCAGAGACATCCGGTGTTTTCCCGTTGCGCCGGAGGAGAATGATAATGACTACGGCAACGATACCAATGATTGCGATGCCGCCAATCACGCCCCCAACTATGATACCCGTTTTCGCTGTTCCTCCAGGCGGGCTTCCGGTCGGGTTAGAAATTGGGGATGAAGGGGAGCTAGTAGGGTTCGGCCCAGATATGATGCTGGGGGTAGTTATTGCAGGGCTCGAGGTTGGAGAAAAGCTTGGAGTGGTAGTCTTTGACTCTATATCGTTGAGTTAGATACGCTAATCAGTTGCGCGATAGGGGTGGGGGAGAGAATTAAAGCCAACGTACGATCCCCAGGGTTCTTTTCATAGATTGCGACGCCCGTATATCCCATTGCAGCGCACCAGTAACCTGTTTTTGGATTCGAGGCTCCCGATGAAGAATATAATACATTATAGCTGCATGTCGACAACAACAACCCACTGTTTCCAAATGGGCCGAATCAACACGCGATTCCAGAGAAGACACAAGTGAAGCTAACTTACCAGTAAGAGCTCGTACTCCCAAGCAGCACGTATCCGCTTGAGCATCCGTGCCAGATGGAACAAGAGGAGCCTTTCGTACAGAAATCATATATAGACCCCGATGTGGTGATTGAAAGGGTGTCAGAATATGTTGCAGGGTTCCCTGAAGATAATCAGCAATATTTCTTTGAATATTCAATGCCGGACGGCATTTGTACAGATTGTATCTCCGCTTATACTGCCTCCAGCATACCACCCGTAAACAGAAACAGCCCTCGGCAGCAAGGCTGGTGCAGTGATCAGCGGCTCAGGGGCGGATATCATTGTGGCGGAGATATGGTTGACGAGAAGCCCCAGTGGAATGAGTGGGAGCATTCAGAATGATATGGTATTGGTAGCAGGGTTAAAAAAGAGGTAAGAAGTTGAGCTGGATAAGCACGACTGTACTGTACACAAACTGTATTTAAGGGCATGCGCTTCTCCGCTTGAGGGCTCCACCAAACATCTGCCTAGCGTATGACAGGATATTGGATGCGCCTATATGCGCGAGAAAGCCAGCAAGAAAAGCAACTGTTGTTCAACCCAGCCTCGCGCCTGGCCCAGTGCACTTTAGTACCAAATGTGGTCTCGTCGCGCTGGAAAGTGACCAGCTCCATTCTACTCCTATTATGATGAAGATAGCTTTGATACTTTGTCCCGCAGTTCTTTCATAATCATCAGACATGGGGATTTATTTATTTTAAATAATTCCAAATGCGGAGAACGTTTATATGTAACTGCGGAAATATCCGTCATCTCGCTTGTCTTCTGATTTTCGGCAGCTGGCGTTATCGTAGATTGGAAACAATTCGCCATCTACGGTGAAACAAATCCAATCAGCAAACGTCAGAATGTCGCATATTAACCGATAAGAATTGGCAGCCTACAGAGAATGGAACATAGACCAGCAGAATTGACATTTAGCAAGCCATTGGCTGAGGATCGAGGTATGTACGTAGTACGGATCGTATAACCCCTTTGGGAATCTTGTACAGCGATTATAGAGGAGTAGAAGGGCTCGAGCAAGTAGGCATGCGGGAGCGCTCAGGGGGGGTTATAGAGGTCTGGTTGGCTGAGAGTTTCGCCAGGACCCTCGAATCTGTACTTCTTAGTGTTTTAATCTGTCCATCCGCAATCTGTAGTCTCAAAGAAGCCCATCGCTGATTATATCTCATTGCAGAGTTATCCATCCACATGCCTTCCTGCTTCACAGGCCTTATTTAGTTGAATAGACTCTGTCGTCCATTTGGCGCAGTATCGTAGGCTGCAAAAGTGAAGAGCCCTCTACACAGCGTCTCTTGCCTCATCCCGCGATAGTACACAGTCCGTAGCCAAGGATGAATTGCAGCAGTTCCTAGAGGATAACAATTGTGCACCTGGCATTAAGTTCGCAATTAAGTGGACTACTATATAACGTGTTTTATAAGAGAGCGGACCACCTGAGTGAGTGGACCAGCGAACCCTACTAAAACGCCTACGCAGCAACTACACTTAATTTCTTAACAACATAACGTACAAACAACGTATATAGAAAAAAAAATATATCCCTTACTATCTTTAGTATTTGTAACGACTCTCATGAATTGTTCCATCTCAGGTCGCTCGGAACCTATCCGAAGCGTCTCTGTATCCGCCCTATCCATGACTTAACCCTGTCCCCTGCAGGTACCTCTATTCCCTTAAGTATTTAGTTGCTCCTCTTCTCTTACCTAGCTTAGTAGTTTTCTAACATCCTTCTATATAAGGCCTATAGGTGTTAATAGAATTTCTAGGTTATTAAGTCCCTACACACTTTTATATCCCTCTAAGTGGATTCCTACTGCATTTAGACCTATTATCTTGCCTGCGCTATTACATTATGTTAAAAAAACTTACTTTTAGCAGTAGAAGCTTTATTAATAATATTATATTATTTACTTATTTAACGATATTTAACTTTAAAAAGTATTTTATTAAGTTTAAGTTATAATTTTTACACACTATTATTATAAATAAAATTTTAAAAACCTTTTATTTTTTATACATAAAATTACTTCTAAAAAAGTTATAAAAAGTATGCTAAAATAAACACTTAAAGACTACTAATAACTTATTAAAATTAAAAATAACTACTAATACTTACCTTTTAACTACTCTTAGACTTTAGTATAAAGTTTATAACACACTTTAGCTATAGCTAAGGCAAAATGCTTACTACTAAAGCTAAATAACTACTAACTTTAATAGCTAAACTTTTTTTTACAAGACTTAAAGCTAAAGACTTACTAAATTTAAAGTTAAACTATAGTAACATAGCTTTTAAAAACTAAGTTGCTTAATTAAGAGCATAAATTAAGTAGCTAACTATATTAAAAACTATTAGTCTTAGTTAACCTCTACTAACTACTAAATTACTTTTAATAATGCCTTAAATTACCTTTACTATACTAATAGTAAAAGACTTTTTAAGTACTATTAAGCCTTTTTAAATTAACTTTACTAAATATATGCTTAAAATTAAAACCTTAATAAATAGTAAAAAACTTATATTTAAATAATAGTAAGCTTTTATTATATATCAACTTAAAATGAATTTAAATTACTATTAAAGTAAGCGCACACACATAGCGTTAGAATAGAAACACCCTGCTAGTATTGTAAAGGAATACCTAGAGCCTAGATACCTAGCTAAGTTAAATAACCTTTAGTTTAGAAATATAAAAAAATAATTAAGGTTTTATAAACTTACTGTCTAAATAGCAGTATTTGGATACGCAGTTAGGCGTCATGTGTCATGGTCTTGTGTCACAGTTGTACGCACAGACAGATAAATACCACTGTCCTTCGCACAGAATTAGAACAAGAAGAATCAACACCAGTTACCTGCAAACCCCCCCCCCCCCCGCGCGATGTGTACACTGTGCAAACCTCTTTGCTTTGCATAGCTAGCATAGAGCCTATTTAGCACTAATTAGTAGTTTAAATGCTGTAAGACAGGAAGCTCTTCTTATACTTTTTTATTTAAAAAATTATGTATAAAAGAAATTTATTTCTTTACTAATTTAACTAAAAATTAGTAAAAGTAAAGATAAAGTCTAATTTACATGTAAGTAGCTGTAAATCTTTATTTAGTTACCTAATAAAGAGTAAGGAAACCTATTTATATAATACTATTTAGAGGTATTATATAAATAGTAGTGCTTATTTAATACTAGAAGGTGTGACGGTCCTACGCAGAGAGCTCTGCCGCGCTTCACATGACGAGCTGCCCGTGCAGCCAATCAGGATATAGGGGGTGCGACTGGCGCAACGCTATTAGTTTGCTTAGCGCTAGCGTCCTTGCTAGCGCCTTAGCGCTGTAAGCACTTCTTCTGCAGAGCTGCCCTTAAAGCTCCCTTTCTCCTCTCTATCTTAGTGTAGCTAAAATAGAGCTAACCTACTCTGCCTTACTTTCTTAGCTCTATACAGTAGTAGAGACAGTGCTTGTTATTATATTACACTAAGATTATCTTATTTAGCTAGAGGACAGCAACATAATATCTAGGTCTACTGTGCAGTTAGCTCTAAGAGCTTAATCTGCTAACTAACCCTTACTTAGACAGATCTACTAGTACAACTAAGCTAAGCCTTAGTTTGTTAACAATAGCTATCTGCCTTAAAGCCCTAGTTAGGCTAGGCAACTGTAAAAGCAACACTAAGCAATAATTAAATTGTTACACCTTATTAAGAAGCTCTAAGCTAGGAGCGCTGCTGCTCTAGTTTAAATTAACTGTAGGAGGGGGCCTACTGTACTAACTACCACCGCAACAACGCGAAGAGAGCCGCAGGCTCTGTACGAACCCACGTACAAACCCACCACTAATTGACTATCAGCCCTACCGTCACTGGACCCAGGGCTCACACTACACTATACCTCTGCGGACCGCCAGACCCTAGAGTAGAGGGAAGGAGCTAAAAGCACTAGGATAGGGAAGCTGTTAAGAATTAAAATGCGCGTTAATCCTACTGCCTAGCCTACTAGCAACGCCTATACGCCTGAACTAAGGACACTGCTATGCTAGGCCTAGTTCTACGCTAATAATGTGTTTAAGAAGGACTACACTATTAAGACTGCGCGCGCGCGCGCTTAGTAAGCTAGGAAAGCACTATTATTCTAGACAAAGGCTATTACTTAAGGTACTACTAATTATAATTTAATTAGCCTCTGCCTAGACCTACTAAACCTTATAGCTGCAGATTACATAGTTATAGTAAATAAGCTGCTACAGCAGTTATTAAAAGTGTAAGCTTATTAAGACTACACTAATACTCTTACTAAAGCAGTTAACATAGCAGAAGCTAAGTAAGTAAAAGTTAGTAAAAAGCTATAAAAGCTTTAAAGCTTACTAAATAAAACTCTTAAACACCTAGCTAATTATAAAGATAAAGTTAAAAGACTTAAGGCTACTACTACACTAGTGTATAACTAATTATTCTTTTTAGATAGAGCTTATTAAGCGCTAAGAGGCACACCTATGCTAACTACACTAAGAAAGCAACTGCAATTTAACCTAGCTATACTAAGAATACCTAACCTCTCTTATATTAGTACTGTAAGCTAGGGAGCTAGGCTAAAACTATTAGCTAAAGCAGAGGATCTGCCTAAGTTTATAGGCAAGAACAATGTTAAATTTAACTACTAGAAAGACCTCCTAATAAGTAAGCTACTTTATAACATAGACTACTTTATACCTGCAGATAGTAACCTTATAAAGAAGGAAAACACTTAAGTACACTATACTAAAAGTAAAGTAAGTAGTTAAGCGCTAGGTTAACTAGTTTCTTACCTTAAAGCTTAAAAGTAGCAAAGTAAGCTAGTAATAACTAAAAATATTATAAGCTTCTTAAAAAAGAACTTTAAAAATACTAACTAGTAAATAAAAGCTAAGACTAAGCTTTACTAGCTTAAGATAAAGCTATTTTAAAATTTTAAAGACTTTAAGGCCTAGTTTACATGCCTTATAAATAAAGCTAAGCTGCTGCTTAAGCAGTAGAAAGATAAGATCTATAACACTTTATTAAGTTAGCTTTAAGTATATATAAAGACTTACT